GGCCTCTTCAATCTCAAAAGATGCAAAATCCAAAGAAAATGATGATAACAAAGATGGTGGCTCTACAACATCAACACCACCATCAAGTGCCTACAATTCCGATGTCTCCTCTTAAGTCACTAATCTTAAATTATTGTGTAAATCTTCAATTTTCTCTCTCAATTATTACTATCTCTCCTACTTCATTTTTAAAAAACATAAAAATAATAAATAATTTTTAAAACAAACAAAAAATTCTATTATTCTCAATTTGTTGTATATTGACATAACAATTTTTAAAGTTATTTAAGAGATTAGCAGAAAAAATAAATATTTTCAAAAGTCTTTTATTATTTTCATGTTTCTTCTTTTTTATATTATTTTTATATACTTTAAAGATTCAATTGGAGAGAGAGTAATAATTAAATGATTAAATTGGAGTTAATTTACTAAATTATAAATAAGCATATTTCTGTGTCTGTTTCTTTTTTATTTCAGACAGAAGAAGCTACTGCTTTTAGTAGCATTTGTGTTTTATACTATAGTAACGGTTTGTAATGTTGTTAGTGTGCAAAATAAAATCTGTGTGAGAACCAATTTTTTTTTTTATTGGTTGGTAATTTGTTGGATTGTTTGTTGTTGGTCTAGTGTGCTTAATTATGTGTTCTGGTTGGATGAGAAAAATATCTAAAATCTTTCTTTATGATATTGTAATTTGTATTCTAAAATTTGTCATCTTTATCTTAACTCTAACCGGTTTATAATTCATCATCATGTGCATACATACATGTTATTGGGTCTATACTCATGGAATCGAGGCATTTTCCTTGCGGAAAAAACTGTAAATATTGACTGTTTCGTTAAGTAGCATTGTGAAGCAGAACTCAGGGTTTTCTGTGTTTAAGTGCGTTCTGCATGTTTTCCAAGCTATTCAATCAATAACCAAACAAGTCATCATCATATCAAGCTCGTATGCATTCCAACACGCTTTGAATGGTGCAAAAAAATGAGCGTTTTAATCAATTTGAGACGGTGCAGACATAAATTCAGTATTATGTGTTTCAAGCTCAGAAATTTAAAACTTGAGATCGGAAAATGGTTTAGGAATGATTCTGTAGTCATTAGAATTGTCTTGAGATCTTCTTCAATTAATCTGTTCATGCCGAAGGCTAATTTTGTGAGGAAGATTTTCAAAAGAGCAAAATACCTGAAATGTGTTGTATAGTGGATTTACCAGTTCGCCGTTTTTCAGGTGCTTAAAAATTCATAATTTCTGACTGGAAAATCATCTTTGAGTGGTTCTTGGAGCATTTGAACTGTCTTGTTATTTCCTTCAATTCCCGTGTTCGGCTCGAAAGCCAATTCATTGAGGAAGATCTCTGAATGTACGAATATTCAGAAGTTATACGGTGCAAAAACAGTGAAAATAGTATGCTGAACCGCTGTTTTTAGATGTTAAAAAATTCATAACTTCCACCCGGTTCAACGTTTTCAGATGGTTCTTTGGGTGAAAAATTCATCTTGATTCTATCTTGGATCTGTATGTTCGGGTCAAGAGCTAATTCTTTGCAGAAGATCTTCAAAAGTGTGAATTACCAGAAAAAATTGCATGCGAAAGCTATTTTATACCAGACTATTTCTCGATATTATAAAAATTACAACTCTCTCAATTTTTATCGTATTGGGACTGTAACAACCCGAGCCTTCAGCGTTCCCGACACTATTACCTCACGATCTTCTCTATCCCCCTCACTAGTAGAGTTTTTGCCTTCCGTGGGAATCGAACCCTGTACCCTGGGGTTCAAGTACATGCTCAATGCATTCCCACTACCACTTGAGCTAGTTTATAAGCTTCAAATTTGCTTTAGGACCCGAGTTTGGATTGTTCCTCGAAGGCTCAATTAATGGCTCGCTTCCTAAAGTGCGCACGAAAGTATGCTGAAATTGTTCAATACGGTGAAATAATTCCATTGTTTCTCGCCATTCGAAAAATTATAACTTGCTCGTATTTTTATCGTAATAGGACGTATCTTTCAGCGCCACGTCAAAAATTTTGTCATCGACGTGTTTGTTTTTGGTCTCGCGTCAAGATTTCACTTTGATTATCTGTGAGCTTGTGGATTTTCCATTCGACTGCGTTTGTTGACACTGAAAATTCTGCTTTGTGAAGAAATTGATTGGCTTTGTCTTGGCCCAAACTAAGGCCCAATTGTCAAGACTATATATTCATTTCCTCTCCCTATTTTGGGGGGACTCAATTAATTTGCTAAGTTTCACACAAAGAGCTCTCAAATACTCATTATTCTTGTCTCAAGACTCTAAGGAAATTCAAAAGGCGAAACTCCCTCCATGATCTCTCTCTCTCTCACTGCTCCCTTCGCGACTGCCACTAGTTCTGACGCTTGTCACACCTCCCTCAGCCAGACGCAACCCCTCTCTCTGGCGCCTTCCATACATCCTCCACTAGTCGCCAGTTTCACCCGCCGGTCGCCACGCTCCCTTGACCTCCGTCTCCGACATCCGTTCCATCGTGATCTCACCGTGAAAACTCTTTTCAATCACTATAAAATTTAACTCTTAATGAAAATCAACAGTAAAAAACAAATTTAATTGAAATCTGACTATAAAAACACACATTTACTTAAGTCTTATTTAGTATTTTTATTTTCAGTAACTAAATATTTTTATGGAAAATATCTTTATTTTTAAAAATTGTGACTGACACATGAAACAAATTAATTATGAATAAAAAAATATATATGACATTCATGAAGGTTAATGTGATTTATTAAAAACATTACTCCAATGAACTTTTCAAATGGATGTTGAGTGGTTGTAATATATTTTATTTGAATATTTCTTTCTCAAAATAATGTTTTATTTTTATATTAAAAGTATTTTATAGTTAAATATTTTTTTATTTTTTGGTTTTCTTTATATATATATATATATATATATATATATATATATATATATATATATATATATATATATATATATATATATATATATATATATATATATATATATATATATATATATATATATATATATATATATATATATATATATATATATATATATATATATATATATATATATATATATATATATATTCTTGGGTGTATGTTCATGCCCGCGTGCTGCACTCACATAATATTCAAATTATTTTATTTCTAAATATTATAAAAAATATAATTTGTTTAAAAATAAAATTATCTTTAATTTTGTGAATTTTAACATACAATATAACTGAGTTTTTTTATGATTTCCTTAAATAACGTTATCGTGAACGGAGAGGTTATGTGTGTGTATAATTACTTTACATCAATTATACATGTTTGAGTTATGTTTCATTTCAAAATCTATTTATGCCTAATCAATACTCTTAAACGAATTCATTTAATTTAGAACAAACTCTAACAAAAAAATACACATGATGATGATGATAATAATAATATAACCACTATGTTTTTCAGAGGAGAAACCTACACATAAAAAAGTTTTCAATAAGACATAGAATGAATAAGAGTTTCACCTTTAAGATTTTAAATAGACGACACACACGTGACAAATTTTTGATTAGAAAACTCATACAAGTTAATGCATGATGAAAGTGTATTAAAAAATAGAAGTTAACACTCTAATTTGTAATATTCTTTAACTTATCTCCTTGCACCTTCATTCAAGATACATAGTCAAATTGAAGGACCACTACAAAAACATACAACCAAAAAACAAATCAAAATGAAAAAAACACAAAAAGAAAATACATTATAAAATTTAGGTCTTAATAAAAATCAACACTAAAAAACAAATTTAATTGAAATCTAACTATAAAAACACATGTTTACTTAAGTCTTATTTAATATTTTTATTTTCAGTAACTTAATATTTTTATGGAAATATCTTTATTTCTAAAACTTGTGACTGACACATTAAACAAATTGATTATGAATAAACAAATACTTATGAGATTCATAATGGTTAATGTGATTTATTAAAAACATTACTCCTCTTAACTTTTCAAATGGATGCTGAGTGGTTGTAATTTTTTTTATTTGAATATTTCTATCTCAAAATAACATTTTATTTTTAATTTAAAAGTATTTTATAGTTAACTCTTTTTTTATTTTTTAGTTTTTCTTTATTTTATTTTTATTATATATATATATATATATATATATATATATATATATATATATATATATATATATATATATATATATATATATATATATATATATATATATATATATATATATATATATATATATATATATATATATATATATATATATATATATATATATATATATATATATATATATATATATATATATTTGTGCGTGTGTTCGTAGGTGCATGCTGCGCTCGCATAATATTTAAATTAATTAATTTCTAAAAATTATAAAAATATAATTTGTTTAATAATAAAGCTATCTTTAGTTTTGTGAATTTTAACATACAATATAACTATGTTTTTTTTATGAATTTATTTAAATAATGTTATCGTGAACTGAGAGGTCATGTGTGTGTATAATTACTTTACATCAATTATACATATTTGAGTTATGTTTCATTTCAAAATCTATTTATGCCTAATCAATACTCTTAAACAAATTCATTTAATATAGAACAAACTCTAACAAGAAATACACATGATGATGATGATAATAATATAACCACTTTGTTTTTCAGAGAAGAAGACTACACATAAAAAAGTTTTCGATAAGACATAGAATGAATAAGAGTTTTACCTTTAAGATTTTAAATAGATGAAATACATGGGACAAATTTTCGATTAGAAAACTCATACAAGTTAATGCATGATGAAAGTGTATTGGAATATGGAAGTTAACACTCTCATTTATAATATTCTTTAACTTATCTCCTTGCACCTTCAGTAAAGATACATAACACAAAAACAAAACTTCTAAAACTACTGCAAAGTCAAACTTCTCTTCTTCCTCGTTTCCTTTTCCAAAATTTGTTCTCTAAGATAATAAATTTACACAAAAATGGTTTCAACATCTCAAAAGGAGAAACCAAACCTTCCACCTAAAAGAGGCAACATCAAAGCTCAAATATTAAGCAACTTAATCAAATTTGTGGCCTCTTCAATCTCAAAAGATGCAAAATCCAAAGAAAATGATGATAACAAAGATGGTGGCTCTACAACATCAACACCACCATCAAGTGCCTACAATTCCGATGTCTCCTCTTAAGTCACTAATCTAAAATTATTGTGTAAATCTTCAATTTTCACTCTCAATTATTACTATCTCTCCTACTTCATTTTTAAAAAACATAAAAATAATAAATAATTTTTAAAACAAACACAAAATTCTATTATTCTCAATTTGTTGTATATTGACATAACATTTTTTTAAGTTATTTAAGAGATTAGCAGAAAAAATAGATATTTTCAAAAGTCTTTTATTATTTTCATGTTTCTTCTTTTTTATATTATTTTTATATGCTTTAAAGATTCAATTGGAGAGAGAGCAATAATTAAATGATTAAATTGGAGTTAATTTACTAAATTATAAATAAGCATTTTTCTGTGTCTGTTTCTTTTTTATAAATAAGCATTTGTGTTTTATACTATAGTAACGGTTTGTAATGTTGTTAGTGTGCAAAATAAAATCTTGTAAAAACCAATTTTTCTTATTGGTTGGTAATTTGTTGGATTGTTTGTTGTTGGTCTAGTGTGCTTAATTATGTGTTCCGGTTGGATAAGAAAAATATCTAAAATCTTTCTTTATGGTATTGTAATTTGTATTCTAAAATTTGTCCTCTTTATCTTAATCCTAATCGGTTTATAATTTATCATCATATGTGTACATACATGTTATTGGGTCTATACTCATGGAATCGAGGCATTTTCCCTGCGAAAAGAATGGTAAATTTTGTCTGTTTCGTTAAGTAGCATTATGAAGCATAACTCAGGGTTTTCTGCGTTTAAGTGCGTTCTGCACGTTTTCCAAGTTATCCAATCAATAATCAAACAAGTCATCATCATATAAAGCTCGTATGCATTCCAACACACTTTGAACCGTGCAAAAAGTTGAGCGTTTTAATCAATTTGAGACGGTGCAGACATAAATTCAGTATTATGTGTTTCAAGCTCAAAATTTATAACTTGAGATCGGAAAATGGTTTAGGAATGATTCTGCAATCCTTAGAACCGTCTTGAGATCTTCTTCAATTCTTCTGTTCATGCCGAAGGCTAATTTTGTGAGAAAGATTTTCAAAAGAGCAAAATACCTGAAATGCGTTATAGAGTGGATTTACCAGTTCGCCATTTTTCGGGTGCTTAAAAATTCATAACTTCTGATTGGAAAATCATCTTTGAGTGGTTCTTGGAGAATTTGAACTGTCTTGTTATTTCCTTCAATTCTTGTGTTCGGCTCGGAAGCTAATTCATTGAGGAAGATCTCTGAATGTGCGAATATTCAGAAGTTATACGGTGCAAAAACAGTGAAAATAGTATGCTGACCCGCTGTTTTTAGATGTTAAAAAATTCATAACTTCCACCCTGTTCAATGTTTTCAGATGGTTCTTTGGGTGAAAAATTCGTTTTGATTCTATGTTGGATCTGTATGTTCGAGTCAGGAGCTAATTCTTTGCAAAAGATCTTTAAAAGTGTGAGTTACTAGAGAAAATTGCATGTGAAAGCAGTTTTATACCAGACTATTTATCGATATTATAAAAATCGTACTCTCTCAATTTTTATCGTATTGGGACAATTCTTGAAGCATGAGTTTACAAATTTTGTAAGCTTCAACTTTACTTTAGGGCCCGAGTTTGAATTGTTCCTCGAAGGCTCAATTTATGGCTTGCTTCCTAAAGTGCGCACAGAAGTATAATGAAATTGTTCAATACGGTGAAATAATTCCATTGTTTCTCTCCATTCGAAAAATCATAACTTGCTCATATTTTTATCGTAATAAGACGTATCTTTTGGCGCCACGTCACAAATTTTGTCATCTACGTGTTTGTTGTTGGTCTCGCGTCAAGATTTCACTTTGATTATCGGTGAGCTTGTGGATTTTCCATTCGAATGCGTTTGTTGACACTGAAAATTCAGCTTTGTGAAGAAATTGATTGGCTTTGTCTTGGCCCAAACCAAGGCCCAATTGTCAAGACTATATATTCATTTTCACTCCTTATTTTGGGGGACTCAATTCATTTGCTAAGTTTCACACAAAGAGCTCTCAAATACTATATATTCTTCTCTCAAGACTCTAAGGAAATTCAAAAGGCAAAACTCCCTCCATGCTCTCTCTCTCTCTCTCTCACTCACACACACACACATACATAACTCCCTTCGCAACTACCACATCTCCCTCAGCCAGACACAACCCCTCCTTCTGGCGCCTGCCACACATTCTCCACCAGTCGTCAGTTTCACCCGCCTGTTGCCACGCTCCCTTGACCTCTGTTTCCGCCATCCGTTTCGTCGTGATCTCACCGTGAAAATTCTTTTTAATCACTATAAAATTTAGATCTTAATGAAAATCGACACTAAAAACAAATTTAATTGAAATTTGACTATAAAAACACACATTTACTTAAGTCTTATTTAGTATTTTTATTTTCAGTAACTTAATATTTTAATGGAAAATATATTTATTTCTAAAAATTGTGACTGACAAATTAAACAAATTAATTATAAACAAACAAATATTTATGAAATTCATGAAGGTTAATGTGATTTATTAAAAACATTACTCCTATGAACTTTTTAAATGGATGCTGAGTGGTTGTAATATTTTTTATTTGAATATTTCTTTTTCAAAATAATATTTTATTTTTAATTTAAAAATATTTTATAGTTAACTCTTTTTTTTATTTTTTGGTTTTCTTTATTATATATATATATATATATATATATATATATATATATATATATATATATATATATATATATATATATATATATATATATATATATATATATATATATATATATATATATATATATATATATATATATATATATATGTGTGTGTTTGCTCCTACGTGCGTGCGCTCGCATAATATTTAAATTATTTTATTTCTAAAAATTATTAAAAAATCTAATTTGTTTAATAATCAAATTATCTTTAATATTGTGAATATTAACATACACTATAACTGAATTTTTCATGAATTTCTTCAAACAACGTTAACGTGAACTAAGAGGTTATGTGTATTTATAATTACTTTACATCAATTATACTTGTTTGAGTTATGTTTCATTTCAAATTCTATTTATGCCTAACCAATACTCTAAAACACATTCATTTCATTTAGAACAAACTCTAACAAGCAATACACATGATGCTGATGAGGATAATAATATAACCACTATGTTTTTCCGAGGAGAAGCATACACATAACTTTTTTTTCAATAAGATATAGAATGAATAAGAGTTTTACCTTTACGATTTTTAATAGATGACACACGGGACAAATTTTTGATTGGACAACTCATACAAGTTAATGCATGATGAATATGTATTGGAATATGGAAGTTAACACTCTCATTTGTAATATTCTTTAACTTATCTCCTTACACCTTCGGTGAAGATACGTAGTCAGCAGAGTCAAAATTAAGTCACTCTAGATTGGAGATAATAGTAAGACTAGACTAGCAACATAACTTTTAGTGGAAAAGAGTAGAAGGATGATGATTACAATGTAAATGTGAATGGAAAAAGTTTAATGTTTAGAGTATATGAAATTCATTGTTATATTCTTTAAATATGTTGTTCGCTGCTTCTATATTATCATAATATTTTTTATGTATAATTGCATAGTTCGATAATTTAGAATCATAGCTCACAAAACATATGTGATCTCATGTACATAAAAATAACATTTCCAAAATATTGTAATAATTACGATTTGTTATGACATAAACCAAACTACTTATCTTATCTTGTTTTAACACATACTAAATGTAAGGACCGCAACAAAAACATACGACCAAAAAAATAAATAAAATTGAAAAAAACACACAAAAAAAACATTATAAAATTTAGCTTTTAATGAAAATCAACACTAAAAAATAAATTTAATTGAAATCTGACTAAAAAAATACACGTTTACTTAAGTCTTATTTAGTATTTTTATTTTCGGTAACTTAATATTTTTATGGAAAATATATTTATTTCTAAAAATTGTGACTGACACATTAAACACATTAATTATGAATAAACAAACACTTATGAGATTCATTAAAGTTAATGTGATTTATTAAAAAAATTACTCCTATGAACTTTTCAAGTGGATGTTGAGTGGTTGTAATTTTTTTTATTTGAATATTTTTATCTCAAAATGACATTTTATTTTTAATTTAAAAGTATTTTATAGTTAACTCTTTTTATTTATTTAGTTTTTCTTTAGTATATTTTTCATTTTTTAGTTTTTGTTTAATTTATCTGTGTTAGTGCTCGTGCGTGCGTGCGCTCGCATAATATTTAAAATATTTTATTTCTAAAAATTATAAAAAAAATATAATATATTTATTAATCAAATTATCTTTAATATTATAAATTTTAACATACACTATAACTGAGTTTTTCCTGAATTTCTTCAACTAACATTAACGTGAACGAAGAGGTTATGTGTGTTTATACTTTATATTATTATCCATGTTTGAGTTATGTTTCATTTCAAACTCTATTTGTGCCTATCCAATACTCTAAAACACATTCGTTTAATTTAGAATAAACTCTAACAAACAAACAATACACATGATGATCATGATGATAGTAATATAACCACTATGTTTTTCAGAGGAGAAGCATACACATAAATTTTTTTTCAATAAGACATAAAATGAATAAGAGTTTTACCTTTAAGATTTTCAATAGGTGACACACTAGGCAAATTTTTGTTTGGAAAACTCATAAAAGTTAATGCATGATAAAAGTGTATTGGAATATGGAAGTTACACTCTCATTTGTAATATTCTTTAGCTTATCTCCTTGCATCTTCGATGAAGATACATAGTCAGTAGAGTAAATATTAAGACACTCTAGATTGGAGATAATAGTAACACTAGACTAGCAACATAATATGTAATGAAAAAGAGTAGAAGGATGATGATCACAATATGAATATGAATGGAAAAAATTTAATGTTTAGAGTTATGAAAGTCATTATTATATTCTTGAGGTGCGTTGTTAGCTACTTTTATATTATCACAATATTTTTTATGTATGATTATCATAGT